GCTTAGCAAGTCTAATTGACATCTGCTCATCACCTGTTGAATTGAGTTGGTTGGTTCGGGTTATGAATAATTCTCAAACATTCAACAGGTACTGATCAACAGCTTCATAATTTATCAGCAGTCCTGCTGGCTTGAGATCTGCATGGCTGCAGGTAGACAATTCGAAAGCCGCTGTGACAACACTTGTATACTACCACATAATAATAACTTGTTATTTCTGTGTATCATCTGTTGGAAAACCGGTTAACAGCGGGTTTATTTTTCGCCGTACATAAGCACATTGGTCGTTTCTGCTTTTTCATCGATCGCGTAAAGAAAGTCAATTCGGGTAGTTTTACTGTCCGTACGAATTTTTACAATCCCTTTGTAGTATGGATATTTCGGGTTCTCACAAAAAGAACGAGGAAGGACTATTCTAGGATACTATGATCTTATTCAGAAAGTGACTATAACTTTTTTTTAGCACTTCACATAACAGGCTCTAGTCTTTCATTTTATCATTATAGCCGAAAGAGAACATAATCGTGTGCAATGAAGTAAATTTTGTCAGTCAACCGAAAATAGACTTTCAAGCCTTAGGATTTAAACAAGTCTTGAATCCCAAAATTAAAGGAATCAAACGAAAGAGACCCATGTTTCTTCTTCCTGTTCTCCGTAAATGTTTTCCTCTTAAATTTCTTTGGTTTCTTTTAAATTTTCATAAGCCTGTTGAGGCGATTCTTTCTGAGATGATCAAATCGTGTACTCTTACAACCTATCTTCTTCACTGATTTGCTGTTGAGAGGTAAAGAGAAATTAGCCATTATCACTACTGCTCTATGTTGGTTTTAAAACGGGTTTTGTATGATTGAAGCCGGAGGAAAAAAAACAAAAAAAAGAAAAAACAGAAAAACGAGGAAAGTTCTGAGGCTTGCCGCTAAGTGAAGTTATCAGGACAAGCCGGAAAAGTCATCTTTAAGCGGTTCATGTTGACAGTAAAAATTATTTCAAAAACGATTTAGAATATTTGAAAACACCTGTTGCTTCTTGTAATTTTGGCACCGAGAGATGAGACAAATAAAATAAGCAAGAGAAACCAAGGTGAGAGTATAGAAAGAACAAAACAAAAAACTTGAGAATCTGCCAGCGTAATTTTTTGGCGTGTTGTCGGCGATAGTAGAAATAACTGAGACAAAAAAAAAAAAAGAGTGATTTCGGCGGCAGGTATTTACAAACCGGTGCCTTACAGCGGGACAATTCGCTTATGCTATTGTGCAGCTTCAATTGTTTTGAAAAATTTGAGCACATTTGTGAAGATCTAAACTTGCCTTTCATGAAGAGACCTCAAGTTGCGATTTCCATTCGACGGCACGCGTACTCAGAAAAGAACACACTTCTTTTCAATTGCGCCGCTGTTTTGTTGGATGTGGCGTGGCGGAAAAGCATCGTTTAACGTTCGAAAATACGGCGATTTTACTTGAATTCTCACTTCTGGCGCAAAGGTACTGAATGTTATCAGTTCTTGAGATTAAAATTAGAGCAAAATGGACAAAAATCGAAGCGTGAGCATCTTTCTTTAAATATTTTGAATCATTACAGGCGGCGAACTGCTTCTTTTTAAACGCCGAAACCGTTTTCTAAAGATTTTTTTAAAGCGCCGAAGCCGCAATTCGGATCCTTAATCCTTCTACCGTTTAGCTATTTCCCCTTGCACACTTTATCACGGAAGTGCAGAAACCCTTTGAATTTCTTTCGAAAAAATTTCTTAAATCTACACTTATAATTTATACATGCAGGTTTATCGTTTCTATGGCAAATATCAGTATCACAAAAGCCTGGGATTTCGCCGATGATTCATTCACAGAGCGGAGGAGGATGACGGATTCCTTGCAATTTTATAATTGCGTTATATATTCTAAACTGTCGCCTTATGCAAATTGTTCGAGGCGCGAAAGAAAAGCTGGGGTGGGGCTGGCAATTGTCAATTTGAACCGCAGTCAATAAGGACCGTTGATTCGCATGAGTAAGCACGGATTTCCGTGAATTGTCCCTCGCTGATCGTCGAAAATGCTACAAAATTGCTCGTGAAATTTTCAATTACAACTGTAGGAATGTAGTTAAGTTATCAGAGCGTATTATGCCAGTGTTTTAACACATTTGCGGGGGTGTTGCGCAGAGAAGAACTGGTGGTTGAACAGATCATACCGAAAGAATTTGTAAGTCCCGAAAGTAGTAAGTTGGCCTTATATGGAGCAGACCCCGGGGGGTTGTTTTTCGTGACGACCAATCACTGACAAGACCGCCATTTTTCAGCCAATCACAGACGAGCCAGTGGTTCGATCCGAACAGCCAGTAACTGATTCACATCGAAGAAAAGTTCTGTTCTCATCATTCGCTCGGGAAAATTTTTGAACCAGTTATTGCAAAATGATGAACAGCAGTTTTCAACTGGCGTTCTACGATACACCGGATTCGCTCTCGCTGCAAGAAATGGTGGAGTGCGACAGCCGCGAAATGGACTTCAATTTGAACGATCCGTTGTTTCAACTGCACGAACAAGGTATATTTCAGGACATCCACCAGCAGATGATGACAGTGAAGCAAGAAAGGCCCAGAGCGGAATGTACCGGTGCAGGCGATTTAACAAACTTGCAATGGCTACAGAGCGTTAGTATACCTATGGAGAAAGGCTCTAATGGCGAGAAACAAGTGATGGTCGATCCTAATACTGCGTTACCCGTGCAGTGGCCGAATCACCAGGCAGTTTCTCTGTCCCAAGTACACACGCAAGTTAACGTTACGGCCGTTCCAGCGCCTCCGATTCTGCAGGCACGTGCGACGGATTCTAAGCCAAAAGTCCAGCAGCACAACGCGAAAAATGGCATGAAAGACAGCTTAAAATCACAGGAAAAGTCATACCCAAAGCCGCTGTTTTCTTATTCGTGTCTAATCGCGATGGCCTTGAAGAACAGTGATTCAGGCACACTCCCTGTCAGTGAAATTTACAAGTTTATGATGTAAGTTTCATTTGGCGCTCAAATGGACCATGTCAATTTCATCAAACTTGTAACAGCTACGGATTTTTTAACTTTGTTTTGTTTTGCAGGGGAAAGTTTCCGTATTTCAAGACAGCTCCAGATGGTTGGAAGGTGAGTGTTAATGTTTTTATCGAATCCATTCTTCGCATGGCCGGTACCTGCGAAGTTTGAATTTAAAAACATGGAGGCAGTAACGGTTTACGTTACGTATTAAGTAATTCGTAGTCTTTCTGAGAATGTTCCCTCCAAATTTGCGATGCTTGCGATATTTTAAATTACTTGATAAAATCTTAGGAAGCTATGAGCAAACTTTTAAAACTTTCCTATCGTTATCTCAACGGTTTCCTGAAACTCGGCACTTGAATGGTTTTCCTCGCAGCATTACAATGGGTTTCGAACAGCTGACAGCAGTTCGAATGATGTGGAAATTTCGTCTGCTTCTCGACCATTTCCTGAATTAAACCACTACTGTAAGAATCTATTTCTTTAGAGAACATGAACATTTCGGCGAAAATCGAACAATTTGGCAACGGGATGATAATTTCATCGCATTTCATTCTATTTCATGACATCTAGTACTGTTGGTGTTTAGTGAATCGGATGTAACACAATGGACTGAAGGTTATTCGAATAGGAAGTGTTGCCAACGCAAGTCCTGTCCATCGGTTCCATCGATGGATCTATTTTTGGTGAAATCTTTGACACACGTGAATCAAGACATAGTAACAAATTGCTGACGAAACCTGCAACCAAGTGGATATATCAAAATGATTTCAAAGTGAACGTTCATCGTGCTGGCCTCGTAAAAGCACTTCGCAAAATTATCAGAGCGTGTAGCAAGCAACGAAAAGATCTGATCTAAATTTTGCTAATCGGCCTATGCAAGATTTGCTGGGAAAACATTATACTACGGATTTAGGTTATGGAATATTTGCGATCTTCTGAATTTAGAGAAAGTTTTAGCAGTCATGTACATCTCAAATGTTAACAGTATGTAGTGAGGGTGGGGCCCATAATTTTATTTATGGGAGGTCAGATAAGAATTCAATTTAAATGCTTGTCATCTCTCCGGCGATACGTTGTTCTTGGAGTCTATTTTTATAGCTAAAAGACTTGTTAGGATCTATAAAATCGATGTTTCATTTCGAAATCGAAGGCATGAGATCGAAGGTACGATATAAACAGAACTCCACCCGAAATGTTGCAACTTCAATTCACTTATAAGATTTGAAATTGTTCGCTATTCTCTTGCGTTTATACTAGGACGAATCACGAAGGAAAACGTGCAGAACAACAGGGTTATAAGACTCAGCGGTAGATAAGGGATTCACTAGGGTTCAAACGTCCTTTTTTCACAAAGAAGTTGTATTTCTTCTTGAAGATTTCTCATTCTATACAACAGGTGGTTGAAACTTTGAATAATTTATGTTCATTCTAATTAAGGTCCATATTGCAGTGAAGGATCTGTATAATTTTCCTTTCTTTACCCTAAAGCAAAAACAAATAGCGAAAACGCGAAAAGCAAATTTTTCAACGAAATCTGGTTTTAAATACATTTATCACTGCGCCCAACGTTAGAAATGGTGTTCTTTCTTTGAAATCCTGTAGATGTATAAAGAAACCATGTTTTTTTTGTACCGGTGTAAGGATAGAGGCACCTTCGATAATTTCATGGTTTTTAGCCATTTATTTTTGGCCTGGATCTAGACTAGACTAGGAAATGTGAATTAATATTTCTTTTCATTCACTGAGTGAGAATTTTATTGTGATCTGCGAAACACACTTTGTAAATTACACCCAGTGGGGAAGTCAGTTCCTCTCACATTTCTCGATGCAAATTTTTCTTTTGGATGAATTAATTACGGTGTTGTTCACTCGCGTGCCGTAAGGTTTTACTTGCTCTGGTCCAGGCTGGTCTGGCTTTTTATAGGAAAGGGGATTATACGGGGGAAAAAAAATTAACAACTGTACATTGTATCAAATGTATTCAACTGACATTTTTGTTTTTTTGTTTTTGTTTTTTTCAAAATCATCACAATTTTTTGCATTGAAAGTTTCCAATCAATTCATGCTGGCAACAGAATGAATGTGGTTAGAGCTTTTTCATATAGTATTATACCATAACAAGTTCACCAAAAAATTGTTTTCAAAAGGTGTATATTTTTGGCCCAAATTTTGGATCAATTTCTGCGATTTTTCATGTATTTAATATATTTGTATTGTACCATGTATAAGGTTAACCAAATACTTCAAATTAATTTGTGAAAGATAAATAATGCCAAATTATTCTAACATTTCTACAGCTTGAAATATATGACACTTAAATTTTTTTCCACAAATGAATTTAATCTTACCTTCTGCAGCCTATTAATAATATATTACTTTCCACTACCACACCTTAATTTGCTGTGATTTGAAGACAAAATGGGTTTCTACAATTTGCTATTTAAATGACCAAAATTCTTGAAGATTAGAGAAGTACTTAGTATTAAAACTTTCAGACTTTTATGCCAGATTCTTGTAATTCACCATAACTTTTTGGCTGTGGTAACAATTTACAGGGTTTACAACATAGATTTGTCTTACATTGCTCAGTGTGCATAAAATTAAGAAATCCACCAAAATTTAACCTTTGAATAATGTGATTTGTTTTCTCTCCCTAATGGAACCGATCTTAGATTTCTAAAAGAATATTCTTATGTCAGTTACCCTTGGATTCAATGGGAATCAGAGATGCAAATGATTTTGAACATTTTACATCCATCTTTGGTTTTCATTAATATGGCTGTATACAGTGTTTCAATAATAACATGAAGGATAGGGTGCTTTGATTAATTTTCAAAATCACTTTAACTGCAATAATCTACAGTGTACACATGTGCACACACATGCAGATATTTTTGGTCACTGTGAGTTTCTTTAGAGTTTAAATTGTTGCCACATTTTTATCTGTAACATTCTTGATTTGTTGAGGATTATCAAGGTATCAAATATGCCACAAGTCTCTTACTGTTAACTGAGACACATATTTACTAATAGCTCTGTGGGTCGATATTGTAAGTCTTGAATGAAAATGCATGCAGTCTTTAAATTTTGCTATGGGCATTTTCTCTCTAGGATGAACTTTCAAACAGTTAAAAATTTAGTTTTTTCAGCCTACTGTCACAGCAGTTGATACATACATGTACCACATAACAACTAATTAGCACAACATTGTGGTACTGCAAATCTTTATTTTGTACTTATAATAGCTCCATGATGTCTGATAATTTTATCAGAGCACATAAACCAAGCCAGGTTACATGTACTTAGTCATCTTGTCATAATATGTCATGGAATTCATATATGATTAAGCTTTTATGTCACCCAAGATTATCTAATGCCAAATAAGATGAAGAGGCTTCTGTGAAATATTCTAATTCTGTAAAGTAATTAGTTTTAAACCAGCGAATTGCGTAAGCAAGTTATGGTTTGTACTGGTAGTCAGATCAGATTACACATGACAAATTAGAAGTGGGTCGATCATATGACAACTTCCCATCGCAATCCCGCTGTTTTGCAGGGCTAATATAATTTTAAATTGACATCTCTCATCCTATGTGTTACGTAACTGCTAGTGTTGCACTAAACATGGGAATGTTAACTGGTACAAATAACTCAAATTGAATGGTTGCTAAAAGTTCTGGGTAATTTGCTGATCAGGGAAAGTGTTAATAGTAGCATGTAACTGTTAGTTAATTGTGCATTAAAATTTCCAGTTCATCTGTTGGATGGGGGAAGTGTAATCTCAATCGCTTGGGGTTAATAATTCAAGTCATATATTTGTCAACATTGTCTGACAGCTTTGGTAACAGTTTTTGAAGTTGATAATCAGATTACTGAGTAATTTCATTTAGCATTATTTTTGATAGGTTTAATACCATAGTTAGTTAACAGAAAAATGGACAGTGTTATTGCATTAATTTTTAATATAAATTTGTTATTGCTTCTAGCGGATTTAATAACTTGCAATTCCTTTTCAGAATTCTGTTCGACACAATCTCTCCTTAAACAAGGCATTCTGTAAGCTAGAGAGACCTCAAGGTGCTTCACAGAGAAAAGGTTGCCTATGGTCACTTAAACCCGAGAGGCGTGAACAGATGGACAAGGAAATCAGAAAGTGGAAGAAAAAACATGCCGAGGCAATTAGAGCCAGTATGGCAAATCCAGGTTTGTGTGAATGAGTTAGAACTGAAGTTAATGCATAAGATTTGTAGCATGTTGTTTTCTTGTGGTTGGCTCCACTTACCGGTAGTCTGTCATGGCTTAGTTTGTTAGAAGAGGTTAAAATTCCTCATGATCAATGTTGTGTCATAACCTTTCTTCATCCCTAAAGGAATTTTTTGCTTGTGCTTGGTTATTCACAATCATTATTTATCAGTGGGTTAAGAAAACACCTTCACTGTCTGACACTTGCAGACTGCAGACTTTTCACCTGATATCATATTCCCATTTCCATTACCGAGTGCTAACTCAACCTAATCTGTCAACAGGCTTGAGCACCTCTGTGCTTTTCAGGCTAACAGGAGTGCTGTTTAGGCCTAAATGTTCTCTGCATTCTGCAAATGTCAGACACTGCAAAACCAAGGCAGAAACCTTCATTGGTTAAGCATGAATGTGCTGGTTTTGGCATTACCATTTCTTACATAATTTTTTAGTAACTATCCCTTGAAGTATTTGATCTCTACTCAGGAATCAATGTTTCCTGAGATAACCATACCACCACGTCTGAATTTTTGTCACCTTCATATACTTTTACCACTTGATCTGATAGAAATCTAATTTAACTCCATTTTAATTCCCAGAAGAGTTATCCATCTCAAGTGATGACTTGGACAATTCTCCTGAACAAATGCTGATCCAATCAGAACACTGTGAAGACATAGCTGCAGCAGATGCTGCCAAGGAACTATTCGGCAATGACTTGATTCACGAAATTCAACAGAATGAAGTCCTTGATTGGGATGATATTATTTCTCAGAGCACAGAGCTTCCAATTGATCCAACACTTAGCACTTGCACAAGCTTGCCAATGTCGACGCAGCCAATCAATGGAATGCATGGATGCGATCCAATCACCACCACAGTGGAAATGGAAAATTCAGCTCAATATTTTGTAAACAGTGACGGGCAAGATTTTGACCTTCCACTTCCTTATGTGTCACACTACTATAGCCTGCCCCAGCCGCAACAACATATCAATGTGGGTTTTTGATTAGTCAGAGATATCTAGCTAGGACTTATTGAAAAATAATTTCTTTAATATACAGAGAACAAAATTTCTTCAAGTCTCAACTATAGCAATGTAAAAGCTTTAACATGCAAGTCAGGACAGTTGTTTTTAAAGAATGGTGGCAAAAAGACACTGTAAGAATCTTTTAAGAGTTTCTTTTTCGTTACAAGACTGTAGGTTATCTTTCATTGGTAATCTTGAAGGCTTTTAAGACTCTTCAATTGCTTGGGAAACCTTAAATTGTGTTAGCTGCCTACTTCATATTGTTTTCATACAACTGACTGACTCACAAACGGGCAATTACAGCGGATATCAAAGTTTTAAAGATATCGCATACTTGTTTCATGTCCACGAGAATGGCTGCTAATGATGCTTTTACGTAGTATTATATCTTTTGAACTATTAATATTAAATATTTCATTGCCATTAAATTTGTAATTATTTCTTAGACTGTTTGTTTTATAACTGTGGTCTGCAGTCAAAATTAAGCCATAAAAGTTGTTAGCACAATGATTGCATGCTTTGTATATGCAAGTACACTGTCTATATCTGTTATTTCAATGTGTTAGTATATTTATTAGCTTTTATGGTTATGCTATAAAAAGTATTGATTATTATTGGTGACTTGTTTTTTGTTAGGGTTTGATGGGTCAGAGGTAGTTGTGTTTTATAATGACACTATTTTTTGGCTGTAAATTTGTAAACTCAAAGTTTGCATTATTTTAATAGTGGGTCCTCTAAAATGTTGTGTAATAGTGAACTACCATAGTCCTTTTCGACAATAAATACTTTGTCAGCACATGCAGTGTTTTGGCAAAAACCTGTTGGCACTTGGTAGCAAGTGAATAAGCAACCTTTAACTCAATTTAGGCAATTTTAACTCAATTTATTACTGTGATAGGTAAATATTATACATTTTTGAAGATTTGCTTTGCCATAGTTCATTTATATTTATTATGTTTTTGTACAGTCTGAACTTCTGAGCTTCTTTCACTTTGATTCCATTTGTAAGTTCTGATGACAAATGTTGAAAACTTCATAACTCATACCCTTCCTAGCTTTGAGTCGCTTCAAATGTGAACATCGGTCAGATTAAAGGTACTGGTTAACAAACACAGCAAATCAAGTGACTTTAAACATTTGTAACATAAATTATCCACTCACAATACTTTAATATAGTAATCAATATTCCAAATTTGTAAATACTAATAAAAAGTAGATAACTTGTTAATTTAACTTAGTAGTCTGTAGTTCATTTGGTCAATAATAATGTAATTATGTGTCTTTTTTCAGTAACTGAATTACAGTAACTGTATTTGTAATATTTTTTTGGCTTTTTTATTTTCATGGCTGATCAGGGAAATAAGAGTCAGTCAACGTCACAGTGGAAAATATTAATAACAGTTAATAATATATATGGTAAATGTACAAGTTGTAAATAAGATCATTTTGGTAGTGAACTATTGTATTTCAGAATTAAAAATCGCTAAGTATGTAGAGCATTATTGTTTGTAAAGCAGTGAGCGCATATGCTTCAGTGCTACCAATAAAGAAAAGCTCAAGAACTTAACAGTTTGGAATGGACTGTTTTTTTCCTTTCGTATGCTACAAATATATTATTTAGGGTGTGTTCCTTTGGAGTCATCAGGTTCAGGATCAGTGATCCAAGATCATTCAGATCATGTCGCATCAAAAAAGCAGATGACTCCACTCTGGTATGCAATGGACTCATTGGTTCCTTTGATGTGCCATGATCTGNCTAATGGAACCGATCTTAGATTTCTAAAAAAATATTCTTATGTCAGTTACTCTCGGATTCAATGGGAATCAGAGATGCAAATGACTGTGAACATTTTACATCCATCTTTGGTTTTCATTAATATGGCTGTATACAGTGTTTCAATAATAACATGAAGGATAGGGTGCTTTGATTAATTTTCAAAATCACTTTAACTGCAATAATCTACAGTGTACACATGTGCACACACATGCAGATATTTTTGGTCACTGTGAGTTTCTTTAGAGTTTAAATTGTTGCCACATTTTTATCTGTAACATTCTTGATTTGTTGAGGATTATCAAGGTATCAAATATGCCACAAGTCTCTTACTGTTAACTGAGACACATATTTACTAATAGCTCTGTGGGTCGATATTGTAAGTCTTGAATGAAAATGCATGCAGTCTTTAAATTTTGCTATGGGCATTTTCTCTCTAGGATGAACTTTCAAACAGTTAAAAATTTAGTTTTTTCAGCCTACTGTCACAGCAGTTGATACATACATGTACCACATAACAACTAATTAGCACAACATTGTGGTACTGCAAATCTTTATTTTGTACTTATAATAGCTCCATGATGTCTGATAATTTTATCAGAGCACATAAACCAAGCCAGGTTACATGTACTTAGTCATCTTGTCATAATATGTCATGGAATTCATATATGATTAAGCTTTTATGTCACCCAAGATTATCTAATGCCAAATAAGATGAAGAGGCTTCTGTGAAATATTCTAATTCTGTAAAGTAATTAGTTTTAAACCAGCGAATTGCGTAAGCAAGTTATGGTTTGTACTGGTAGTCAGATCAGATTACACATGACAAATTAGAAGTGGGTCGATCATATGACAACTTCCCATCGCAATCCCGCTGTTTTGCAGGGCTAATATAATTTTAAATTGACATCTCTCATCCTATGTGTTACGTAACTGCTAGTGTTGCACTAAACATGGGAATGTTAACTGGTACAAATAACTCAAATTGAATGGTTGCTAAAAGTTCTGGGTAATTTGCTGATCAGGGAAAGTGTTAATAGTAGCATGTAACTGTTAGTTAATTGTGCATTAAAATTTCCAGTTCATCTGTTGGATGGGGGAAGTGTAATCTCAATCGCTTGGGGTTAATAATTCAAGTCATATATTTGTCAACATTGTCTGACAGCTTTGGTAACAGTTTTTGAAGTTGATAATCAGATTACTGAGTAATTTCATTTAGCATTATTTTTGATAGGTTTAATACCATAGTTAGTTAACAGAAAAATGGACAGTGTTATTGCATTAATTTTTAATATAAATTTGTTATTGCTTCTAGCGGATTTAATAACTTGCAATTCCTTTTCAGAATTCTGTTCGACACAATCTCTCCTTAAACAAGGCATTCTGTAAGCTAGAGAGACCTCAAGGTGCTTCACAGAGAAAAGGTTGCCTATGGTCACTTAAACCCGAGAGGCGTGAACAGATGGACAAGGAAATCAGAAAGTGGAAGAAAAAACATGCCGAGGCAATTAGAGCCAGTATGGCAAATCCAGGTTTGTGTGAATGAGTTAGAACTGAAGTTAATGCATAAGATTTGTAGCATGTTGTTTTCTTGTGGTTGGCTCCACTTACCGGTAGTCTGTCATGGCTTAGTTTGTTAGAAGAGGTTAAAATTCCTCATGATCAATGTTGTGTCATAACCTTTCTTCATCCCTAAAGGAATTTTTTGCTTGTGCTTGGTTATTCACAATCATTATTTATCAGTGGGTTAAGAAAACACCTTCACTGTCTGACACTTGCAGACTGCAGACTTTTCATCTGATATCATATTCCCATTTCCATTACCGAGTGCTAACTCAACCTAACCTGTCAACAGGCTTGAGCACCTCTGTGCTTTTCAGGCTAACAGGAGTGCTGTTTAGGCCTAAATGTTCTCTGCATTCTGCAAATGTCAGACACTGCAAAACCAAGGCAGAAACCTTCATTGGTTAAGCATGAATGTGCTGGTTTTGGCATTACCATTTCTTACATAATTTTTTAGTAACTATCCCTTGAAGTATTTGATCTCTACTCAGGAATCAATGTTTCCTGAGATAACCATACCACCACGTCTGAATTTTTGTCACCTTCATATACTTTTACCACTTGATCTGATAGAAATCTAATTTAACTCCATTTTAATTCCCAGAAGAGTTATCCATCTCAAGTGATGACTTGGACAATTCTCCTGAACAAATGCTGATCCAATCAGAACACTGTGAAGACATAGCTGCAGCAGATGCTGCCAAGGAACTATTCGGCAATGACTTGATTCACGAAATTCAACAGAATGAAGTCCTTGATTGGGATGATATTATTTCTCAGAGCACAGAGCTTCCAATTGATCCAACACTTAGCACTTGCACAAGCTTGCCAATGTCGACGCAGCCAATCAATGGAATGCATGGATGCGATCCAATCACCACCACAGTGGAAATGGAAAATTCAGCTCAATATTTTGTAAACAGTGACGGGCAAGATTTTGACCTTCCACTTCCTTATGTGTCACACTACTATAGCCTGCCCCAGCCGCAACAACATATCAATGTGGGTTTTTGATTAGTCAGAGATATCTAGCTAGGACTTATTGAAAAATAATTTCTTTAATATACAGAGAACAAAATTTCTTCAAGTCTCAACTATAGCAATGTAAAAGCTTTAACATGCAAGTCAGGACAGTTGTTTTTAAAGAATGGTGGCAAAAAGACACTGTAAGAATCTTTTAAGAGTTTCTTTTTCGTTACAAGACTGTAGGTTATCTTTCATTGGTAATCTTGAAGGCTTTTAAGACTCTTCAATTGCTTGGGAAACCTTAAATTGTGTTAGCTGCCTACTTCATATTGTTTTCATACAACTGACTGACTCACAAACGGGCAATTACAGCGGATATCAAAGTTTTAAAGATATCGCATACTTGTTTCATGTCCACGAGAATGGCTGCTAATGATGCTTTTACGTAGTATTATATCTTTTGAACTATTAATATTAAATATTTCATTGCCATTAAATTTGTAATTATTTCTTAGACTGTTTGTTTTATAACTGTGGTCTGCAGTCAAAATTAAGCCATAAAAGTTGTTAGCACAATGATTGCATGCTTTGTATATGCAAGTACACTGTCTATATCTGTTATTTCAATGTGTTAGTATATTTATTAGCTTTTATGGTTATGCTATAAAAAGTATTGATTATTATTGGTGACTTGTTTTTTGTTAGGGTTTGATGGGTCAGAGGTAGTTGTGTTTTATAATGACACTATTTTTTGGCTGTAAATTTGTAAACTCAAAGTTTGCATTATTTTAATAGTGGGTCCTCTAAAATGTTGTGTAATAGTGAACTACCATAGTCCTTTTCGACAATAAATACTTTGTCAGCACATGCAGTGTTTTGGCAAAAACCTGTTGGCACTTGGTAGCAAGTGAATAAGCAACCTTTAACTCAATTTAGGCAATTTTAACTCAATTTATTACTGTGATAGGTAAATATTATACATTTTTGAAGATTTGCTTTGCCATAGTTCATTTATATTTATTATGTTTTTGTACAGTCTGAACTTCTGAGCTTCTTTCACTTTGATTCCATTTGTAAGTTCTGATGACAAATGTTGAAAACTTCATAACTCATACCCTTCCTAGCTTTGAGTCGCTTCAAATGTGAACATCGGTCAGATTAAAGGTACTGGTTAACAAACACAGCAAATCAAGTGACTTTAAACATTTGTAACATAAATTATCCACTCACAATACTTTAATATAGTAATCAATATTCCAAATTTGTAAATACTAATNCTCACGTACCATTTACCTTTACAACAAGAAATTTGATTTGCTGTTCATAGTAGATCCAATCTGATTGGTGTGACATACATACATCTCTCACTCACTCACTCACTCACTCACTCAATCCCTCACTCACTCACTCACCCATTGACCCGTCCATAACATACCTGACGCGCCGACTAAGAGGTATTTTTTTTACAAAAAAATAACTCAAAAAAAGCTCAAGAACTTAACAGTTTCGAATGGACTGTTTTTTTTCCTTTCATATGCTACAAATATATTATTTAGGGTGTGTTCCTTTGGAGTGATCAGGTTCAGGATCAGTGATCCAAGATCATTCAGATCATGTGGCATCAAAAAAGCAGATGACTCCACTCTGGTATGCAATGGACTCATCGGTTCCTTTGATGTGCCATGATCTGTGTGATTTTGGATCAATGTTCCTGATCCAGATCACACCAAAGGAATGCACCTTTAGTGAAATTTAATCATTTCTAAGAAGGCTACTAGCAGCCTGAAAAGAGTTGAGCATCTCTTTCCCAACCTAGGCTTATTGATGCATTATAAATGTTGTTTGTAATAAAATTATCACTGTCTGAAGTCAGACATAATTATTACGAGAAACAAAGGTGCAAACCTTCCATAATGGTCTTACACCAGAGCGAGCACTGATTTACATTTATTTAATTGAAAATGAAAATTCTCAAAAGTAACTTAACATCAGATTGTTCCTGTGGTATAATTTATTTATTGCCTAGTACTGAAACAAACCAAGTGTGGAAAAACTGCAAGGAAATTGTGGGGTAAACACATACACAAGAGTCAACTTTACAAAATTCCTTTTTGTGTCAGCTAGAGACAAAATGAAATCACAGGAGATAAGGCAGCCTTTTCCCATAAACTAACACCCAGAATCATGATAAATACCCTTCTCTCTCTGACAAAAGACACCCATCAAACACAGTAAACCTCTGAGCAACTGAACTGGAAAAGATAACTGTTCCTTCTAAACAACAGTTTAAAGTAGCTTCTTTCATTTCCCCCCACACCCCCCCTCCCAAAAAAAAGGAAGGTAAAGTCTGCTGCACTGCATCAGGCTAAATAGCCTGTACAGGAGGAGCTGTTCCCAGTTTCTGAAGCATTAATTAAGTGATTAGGAATGCAGTGAATCCTGATTACTTGAACCCTTGGTTTGACAACTCAAACCCAAAAGTCGCTTCCCCCCCCTCCCCCCCCTCAGTCAAACACTGCAATTTAACCTCTGATTTCTCAAACTGCTAGATTTTTTAAAACCAATTTTTGTTTCCCTTGAGGGTTCTAAATTGGGATTCCACTGTACTTCTACTCCCCTCCGGATGGGATGCTAGTCTACTGCAGGGTTACCTCCAACATGAAAATCCATTTTGTCTCAACCAGTTTGAGAAGACTTTTTTCATTAATTTTATGAAAATAGTTTTATTCTGTTGCCATTTGCCAATTGCTACTTTCTGTCTCTCACCTCTGTCAGCAAATCAAAGAACTGACAAACCAAAGTGCTCTCATGTTCCCAATTTGAATTTGAGCATCCCTAAAAACATTCAAAATATCTCTCTTGACCTGACTTTAAATTATTTACTCTGATTTATTTCATTTCCGGAATTGGCATCACTAACAAATACTTTTACCCTGTGGAAAGCCTGTGACTAGACTGAGAGTTACTGTACAACTAATCATAGCTTTGAATTTGCCGCAATCAATCACTCAAAGAATAACTAATGAAAAAGAAATCAATTTGGCAACTATACTTCAATCCTGAAAAAAAATTATTACGTCAGTGACACATTCAAGTTTCTTGGGAAGCAACTTAGCTGAACAAGACTGTAACTTGGGGAAAAATATTATATTTTGAAAACTTCAACCAAAATGTAAACCCTGTAAAACCGGCAGGCAAGAAATAAAAAAATTTAGGCAAGAATGAATCGCCTGAAAAACAACGTATTAAAATGAACTTAATATAAAACTTCAGTATAAAACAAACAGTTCAGATCTTTTGTCCAGTACTGTTGGAGCCACAGAAATTCTTCACAATAAGTACTTGACATATAGCCACTCCAGTGAGGGNTGTACAGGAGGAGCTGTTCCCAGTTTCTGAAGCATTAATTAAGTGATTAGGAATGCAGTGAATCCTGATTACTTGAACCCTTGGTTTGACAACTCAAACCCAAAAGTCGCTTCCCCCCCCTCCCCCCCCTCAGTCAAACACTGCAATTTAACCTCTGATTTCTCAAACTGCTAGATTTTTTAAAACCAATTTTTGTTTCCCTTGAGGGTTCTAAATTGGGATTCCACTGTACTTCTACTCCCCTCCGGATGGGATGCTAGTCTACTGCAGGGTTACCTCCAACATGAAAATCCATTTTGTCTCAACCAGTTTGAGAAGACTTTTTTCATTAATTTTATGAAAATAGTTTTATTCTGTTGCCATTTGCCAATTGCTACTTTCTGTCTCTCACCTCTGTCAGCAAATCAAAGAACTGACAAACCAAAGTGCTCTCATGTTCCCAATTTGAATTTGAGCATCCCTAAAAACATTCAAAATATCTCTCTTGACCTGACTTTAATTTATTTACTCTGATTTATTTCATTTCCGGAATTGGCATCACTAACAAATACTTTTACCCTGTGGAAAGCCTGTGACTAGACTGAGAGTTACTGTCCAACTAATCATAGCTTTGAATTTGCCGCAATCAATCACTCAAAGAATAACTAATGAAAAAGAAATCAATTTGGCAACTATACTTCAATCCTGAAAAAAAATTATTACGTCAGTGACACATTCAAGTTTCTTGGGAAGCAACTTAGCTGAACAAGACTGTAACTTGGGGAAAAATATTATATTTTGAAAACTTCAACCAAAATGTAAACCCTGTAAAACCGGCAGGCAAGAAATAAAAAAATTTAGGCAAGAATGAATCGCCTGAAAAACAACGTATTAAAATGAACTTAATATAAAACTTCAGTATAAAACAAACAGTTCAGATCTTTTGTCCAGTACTGTTGGAGCCACAGAAATTCTTCACAATAAGTACTTGACATATAGCCACTCCAGTGAGGGCGATACTTTGTATAAGCACAGGTATCCCAACCTCACGACTCGAGAAAAGAAAAAAGTCAATTACCCACATACGTATTTATTCATGAAAGCGTCATGTGTTGTGCAAGTCTGAACATGACAAACCACAATTTACAAGATCACTGCATCCTGGAAAAGTCTCATTTCCAAAAATCCCCACACATTATGTTAAAAACAAGCATTTTCTATGGGCCATTCCAAGATTGCTTCTCTCTGCATATAACTGTAGGCAAGAAAATTGCAGATCAGATAGATTTTCTGGACGAGAACCACTTCCACATGGACAACGGTCAAAATTGTGGTGTGTAGCCTTGACTTTGTCTTAAGAAGTCAATTCATAAAGGGAATGACAGGGGATGGCAAACCTTTAGTGACAACCAAAAGCCACTAGGGACTCACATGAGGTGAGCTAGTACTATTAATCTTATGCGTTAAATGATCATATTTATTTAGCAAAATTTTTATATCGATGATATTTCATTCCCTGCACAACATCTTCTAAATCCCTCAAATTCTTAATGGATCCTTGCATAATCTAACAGCCTGTCATCTGAAAGGACACATACAGACTTGCACAATTATGTGTGACGCTTTCATGAGTAATTACATGGTTAGGTACTGGTAATTATTGATTTTTTGCTTTTCTTGAGATGTAAACTTGGGATGCTGTGGTATAAGGGATCAACAAAATACTCTCTTCCCACTCCTGGTGACCATGAAGTGGCTTTTAAAATTCTTCCTTGTCAAATATGTGTGGTAATCCTGAGCTTTTTCCAGCTGTAGTCTTATATTCTCAAGGGTATTGTCTGCCAAGATAAAAACACAGAAATCAATTTTTGCGGGAAGTGGCAAAACAAAAATCAAAACAAGAAGCTTGACTAGCTTAAAACTGAAGGGTGCCAGTTAGGTCTTTCCACAAATATCATGTCACATTGCCTTAACAACTTTCCGGAAATTCTCAAAATTTTTTCTAAACATCACAAATATTTTTTCTTAATATCTAGAAAAAACCCTAAATATCTCATATTTTTGTTTTAGAAATACACCAAGTTTCAATCACTTAGACCAAAATTTTCAAAATTTTATTGCAGTAGTAGGAGTTGAGGAAGAAAATTCAGGCATGTAGATGTTACCAGCATCTACTATTTTGGAAAATTACTCCATTGGCACTTTTTGTGATATGGAATATATTATTTGAGTGGGTAATGGCTCAACTGGTTTGTTTCTTGCATAGCACTGAGTATTACTTCAAGAAAATAGTGAGGCAAACACAGCACTAAGCCAAAACAAAGCTACAAATATTTCTAAATATCCTTAAATTTTCTAAATATCTATCTTGGAAACTTCTTCCCCAAAAATATCCAGATATTTTTGGAAAGGCCTAATACTGCCAGTGGAAGTTTAACTGCTTCCCCCAACCCCCAAAATAGCTTTCACAACTGCTTAAAACTGATATAAATTCTTAGATATCTTTTAACCTTTTTACAATTGTAAATTTAGTTAGCATCGGGCAGGCGAAGAGCCACCCTGTGGATATACTGCC